TGGCAAGCCCTGCAAAGGTCCTAGAAGCATTGTCTGAGTAAAGGTCTATTCGCGCCATAGGAACGAAGAGCTAGCCTGTTGTTAGCCAGTTGCATTATGATAACATATGGGTACACACGTGTGGAAAAATTTCGCGGCTTTCTGAGTAGGCGCGCCCAAGTACAGAAAACGTGGCGGGGAAATTCCCTTACTGCAAATCTTTCACCGCGGATGACCCTAGCAGAGTGCTAAAGGCATGTCTGCACCAATCGCGCCTTCAAGATTATGTAAGGGTTGTGGACATACCTCCACTCAACAAAATCAGATAGTACGAAATCCGCCTATGACGGCATTTGCACAACTCCTGATTGGGTATGCCCATTACGGCAGACCAGAGAGATTATGTACCAATCTCCCTCCGGCTATTATTCCCGCACAGGTCTTACAGTCAGACGCGGGCGGCCACGACCATGACGCGTGAACGTGGGCGCCAGGCCGTGCCAAAGTCCGGTCAAACCAATCCGACAGGTCCTAACGCTTGCAACGCTTCACAAACTTATAGCCAAAGACATCGGCTATCGGCCAGGCTTTGCAAACCTGCCCGGATTCTGCCTAACCGGGGTCTTGCACGGTAGGCGATGATTCGCGGATCATTAGCGTGGGCGTCCGCGCTGGATTACGACGTGTACGGGAACATATACCCGAAAGGAAGATAGATACATACCGCCCCCAAGAGACTGTATGAAGGGGAGCGTTGTCTATTTGATCATATGCCAATCATGTGGTGAAGAGTATGTAGGCGAAACAGGTCAAACTAACTTGCATTTCAAGTATACTTGAAAGGATTCGCAAAAGGTAGGGTGGGTCTTCAGTCTTCCGGGTGCACATAGCAGACTCTGTTATTGAAATATTAAATTTGATACGTCTATTACCATCTTATCGACAAGCCCAAACCTTAGCACGCAAGACACTCGAGGTTGTCTTCTGCAAGTTCTAAGATAAATAGAAAAAAATGCATTGCCGTCACAAATGAGCTGGCACCCTTCCAGATCCGTGGATTTTGGACTATAGGATGTCAGGTTCGGGTCAGGCGCGGAGGAGTGAAAATAACAGTAACATCACCAATAGCGGCGCAACTTTGCTCGGTGGTCGCTTCTTCTCATCCATAAGGCTATAAGGTAAGCGCTTACCCTATTTTCGTTTTCTCGTTTGTTTTGGATGGCTGTTGAGTTGTACGGAAGTGACTTCTGCGAGAGTGGATTCAACATTAGAGCATAGAGAGTTTGGTCTTCGTCTAGGCTTAACATACAAATGTCTCACAGCTATTAGCAGTAGAATGGCAGAAGCTGTGTCTTCAGCTGTGTCTTATATTTGTTATTGCTCTTTGAGACTGAGAGTGCTTAAATAATGCTCAAAACACAGAAAACTTCAAACTGACGTGAATATGGGTAAGACGATTAAGGTAGAACTTGTCTCTTCTTTATCGGACGTTCAACAAATATGAAGATACGGATTTTTTACCTGTACCAAACAACAGAATCTCCTTCTAAGAGACTCTGGGAGCAGACTCTCATGCATTGACTAATCAAGAAACATATCAGGTATTTATTTGAAATGATTACATACAGACAGCGGATATGCATGTGGATCAAACCATATATTTCCCATTGTGCTCATTCATTTGTGTCTGGACAATAGTTGTCGGTATCGCACGTATTCATCTGGCAAATGTAGCGCTTCGACACGCTTCTGCAGTGCACATTCTGCCAGAAAAGCTGAAAGCAATTGATACTACTGCTTGTGTTACAGCATATTTGTATATTTCATAAACTGAATTAGTGCGCTCAAAACAGACCTCAAAACTGGTAGATGTCTGAGCGGTCAAGACACAGTCTGCATCTCCAGTTACATCAGGGAAGAATTTGTTCCATCTCGTGTAAAGGGAGCCTTCCAACTAAAACCAAGCTTTGAATATCAAGCAAAATATCGAAAGCATTACGTGGGAAGGTCTACCGGGATCCGTTCTGGGTTTGATTCCTTAGGCTGTTCCCAGAAGTAGCCACCATTCGCCTTGTCGTAAGAGAGGCCAATATGATACATGTAAGGTGGTTCCATCCTGTAGTCGTTTCTAAACATTGCTGAAATGAAAACCTTTGCTTTTGCTCAAAAATAAAATTGTAGTCTAAGATTTACATGCAATGAAAGTATGCTTTGCATGGTCAAGAACAGTGGCAAGATGACCCGATTCATGGCCGATTCTAATGCATGATCTCTTGGCAAGGTTCCAGTTCGAATCAATTCCACCTGGAAGTTTTAAATGAAGTTCGATTTGAACATTTATCACTTGGAGTAACAAGTTCCACAGATAGCTTACCAATTCTCAAACACGATCCATATTTTACCGAATCGAGAGAATACTGCATCCACTGCTTTCTACAGAAGCAGTTGACTGAAAAAATGCATCATTAGCATTCCGATTCCACTTGTGGCACTTTTGAGAGATCAAATTCACTTTGACAAAGTGCATGCTGAATTTCGCCGGCTAGATTGGCATTTGTATTCATGAAGAAGTATCCTTCAGTGGCTATCTATCAAAATAAATCAGTTGAAAGAATTTTGTAGCAACCGAAAACATTCCTACTTTGCGAAGTTCTAAAATAGCATTTGGTCTGCCTCCCTGGTCGAATGCGACAACAATGATGTCTTTCCCACTAATCTTGATTTGGTCTGCCAGTTGTGTAGCATCTCCAAAATGGAGCTCCCTGAAATGCATAACTGTGTTAGAAGAAAAAATAGTTTTATCTCGTTGCATCCACACTCCGATGCTCTTTTTGTAGATATTGAAGTGAAAAAATTTGGTAATACTAACTTGTAAACGCTGGCATAGATGATGATGACCTGCTTTACATTCTCCCTCACTCCTGCCGGTCTACCCTCCGCGAAGAGCTCCTCAGCCTTCATAAGAGCACTAAATGATCAGATGTAATTCATCAAATTACAAACATCTTCTGAAAATTATTACTCTTTCAATTCGCTCGATTTATCTGCGGCTTTCTCAATCTCCCAAATTCTATCCAAAAACTCTTCTGTTGACTTAAACTCATTGAGTTTGTGTATCTGAATGCATTACTTTCCTTGACCATCTTAAAGCGCAATCTACAAAATCTACCGCTTTTGCCGTAGTACCATAGGTAAGGATCCCAATACGAGTATGATGTCCTTCACCCTGAGCGATCGTTGTCGGATCAAATACCGTACCCAGATCGGCGATGACCTAACAATAGATTTCAGATTTGTACAAGACGATGCATGAGTCTATTTTGCTGTTTTTGTGCGATTCAGCAGACTGCGGGCTCAGGCCCCAATTGCAGATAAATCTTACCTGCGCCATTCCCTCCATAGTCATACCAAGAGAATTGTCGATTGCCACTACCACATCAAGCCATAGCTTCGATGGTGTGCATGGACATTCTCTTTCGTAGTAACGCCTATTTTCTTGTGCCCCAACAGTAATCAGCAGTCCTAAATCACAAAGTTCAATATTTTCGAATTAAGTAAGTGGCTCACCCAATAGTATGGCCCTGTTGAATAGAAGCTTCATGGTCTTCTACAGTCCCAAATAATTGCTACCTAAAAATA